GGGCTTGAAGCATGAAGATGACACACAGCAATGCTACAGAACAGAAAAACTTTCACACAGCTGTGTGTCTGGGTCAGGAACTGCGACCGAGACTGAATAGCTTTGCTGTTGCGTATTCCACCACTAGAGAGCAACCCGTGGCTGCCTGTTGGTTGCATTTCTGGGTCAGAAGAATGAGCTCCGAGAAGGGGTTCAGGGGGCATTCTGGGGGACAGGGAGGGAAGGAGGCTGGCATCGCCAGGCTAGGACATACCCTGGCAGCCTCAGCCTCCTGTTCTCTGGCTCTGAAGTACCATGGTTGGATGGCTGAAAGAGCTGTCCAGTTGATTTGATGGATGGCAGGAGTGTGGGGGGATCATGGCCTCTGCCCTCTCCCTGCCCTACAGAGGCTGCCCCAAGTGCAGAGGGGCACAGGCTGCCCCTGTGTGCTTTGACTGACTGATTGATTGATTCCTATGCTGCCTATTTACCAAGACAGGCTGCGCTTTACAGCTGGCAGGTCCAGGAAGCTTAGCAGCCAGGCATTATCTTGGGCATGTGGCTCTTAGAGTACCTGTATTACTCTGAAGCCACAGAGGATTTTTCATAGGTTTGTAAGAATGTAATGTGAACCCTCTGCTCCTCTCCACCGCATCTCTCTATATCAGACTCTATTTTTCCTAACTTCCCCTGAAACTGTGCTCTTAGCTGTTTCCAGCGGCAGAGGAACTTAAGGGCCACCACATGTCAGCTTGCAAAAGCTGTTGATGTTTTTAACAGCCACTATTTTATTTCCCCTTCTAGCAATGCACGTGTGATAAAAAGCATGCTAAAAGCAGAAACAGCATCTGCTCACCATCCACTGCTTCAAAAGAGAGCTCATCCTCAATGTCTATAGGCTGACTCCCTATAAAATATAAAGTCAGTAAAACCAAACCCATGTGTAATGTCACTGTTATCATTTCTATACTTCCTAAATGGCTCTTGGGTATTTAGGTTTTCTTTATGCTGAACTGACCCCCACAACACACAAACATACCCAAAGAGCTCTTACCTGATAGAAGGATGCTTCAGTCTTGCTGAGGTGTCTGTGGATAGAGAGAGAAGGGCCCCAGAGGCCTCTGTCTGAACTGCATCCTTCACAGCCTCATCCTGCAAGTTGTTTTCCTGTCGGACAGTTTGAATACAGCCTGCTCTGGATACAGTGCTGTACATGCATTTTACTACTGTGTCCCCCTCACCCCATGCATCTGCCTACTAATAATGATTGCAGTTGGCCCTCTCTTGCAGTAGCCATCAGACATTTTGCGTGGTACCCACCCTTCAAGATGTCTGCCCTATTGTCATGTTAGGGCAACTGCTGGAACTAGTTTCCCCCTACACTACTGCTGCCATGAGCTGTTTCAGGCTTGCTGCAGCTCAGGTGTCCTTTAAAAAGTTTTTTTTCCCCCTTCAGAGTGCAAAAGCCAGTTGCCCTTTGTGATCCCCTTTCGACAGCCAAAGGCCGTTCCTCCAGCGTGCTCCAGCAGTCCCTTGGAGGGGCAGCCTGAGTTTGCCAAGACTTTTTTCTATTATTATGCCTTTTGTCTCTCCCTAATTTTCACAATTAACATTTTTTAGAAATATATACTTTTTATTGCAATCCTTTTGCAACTGCAGATAACCCCAGGGGAACTTGGTGGGGTTAATACAGGGGAATTCAGCAAGTGCTCACCCCAACCAGTGTTGCTCAGGGGTGCAGGTAACTTAAATCCTCCTTTGAAATCCTTTCACAGCTGGCAGAAGCCAAAGTGTTCCAGTGCCCAGAGTGATCTTTGTCGGTGAAAGGAGGGGTGTCACTCATCTTGCTCACAACAGGATAGCGTTTTTTATGCCGGGGGGCCGGGGGGGGGGGAGGCTGATCATGTGTGCCTAGTAGCCCTTTGGTTTCATAAATGTCTGTGAGATGCTAACACTCAGGAACATGCAAAACCAACCACACTCCCATTTAGGAGGGTAATAACATTTTGACAGCTCAGCTGCCAAACTGCAAACCTCCATTTTTCAAGTGGGATTTAGAAGGTGTTAAAATTTATTTTGGGACCGCAAACTGTACAGCTCAACAGAGCTTATCTACCTCTACAGTTTCCAGCCCAAAAGTACATTCCTAAGCACTCCTCAGTCCCAACTGAAAAAACACCAGCTCAGCTGTCCGAGTGCAATTACCCGGGCAAATGGAAAGCCCAGTTAGTTCTATATAAGAACAGTCATGCTGGATCAGACCAGTGGTCCAGACAGTGCGGCCCTTGGTCACCTGGTGGCAAACCAGCTGCTCGCAGGCATGTGGAAAACTGAGCAGATGCTTGGGACACATGATCCCCCTCATCAAAACCCCCAAGGAACCTGCTGAGAAAGGGGTGAACTGGACGCACCACTTGCAAGCAAAGATCACTCTGGGCTTTGGAACACTTCAGCAGCTCAGTGGGAAGGGAGGACAATGAATGCCAGCTGCCCCCAGGCGCACACCCAGGAGACCCATGGCAAGGGAGGCAAGGATATTTTCCCACTCTTGACATGGGGCTCCCAGATTTTGCACCATGTGTACAAACGGAGTACATAACTTTGTGCACCCATTCCTTTTTACTAAAAGACAACCCCTTCAAGGTATCATTGGGGCATTAGGCTTGTAGCTGCACAAATAGCGATCATGAAAGGCAGCTTGATAGCCACCTTTTGTAATCCTAAGAGAATAAAGAAGTTTAAATGGACAGCCAAAGCTGTGGAGAACCCAAAATGGCTTGTAGTGGCAATGAGAAAGCAGGGCAAACCTTGGTGCTACCACAGGGTCCCCTGGGATACCTTCAGAAGCGCTAAGGGACAGGGAACTCTACCCACAATGTGCTCAATCACCTGCAGCATGCCTTCTCATGTTGTATGAACCTGCCCACCAACTGGGCTCAGATGACACACTAAGGCTGTGTATGGGCTGAGTAGACTGTTCCTGAAATCTTGGTTCTGTTGGCAGAAACCAGCTGAATCACGGAATCATAGAATAGTAGAGATGGAAGGGGCCATGAAGGCCAACCCCCTGCTGTTGCAGGACACCAAGTTACACCATCCCACTCAGATGGCTGTCCAGTTTCTTCTTGAATGTCTCTAGCGTGGGAGAGCTCGCCACCTCTCTAGGCAACTGGTTCCACTGTCGTATTGCTCTGACAGTGAGGAAGCTTTTCCTGATGTCCAGCTGAAATCTGGGTTATTGCAACTTGAATTGATTATTCCATGTCCTACATCCTGATCTTCCTCTTGCTGGCAGACTTTGAGGTACTTATAGAGGGATATCATGTCCCACCCCCCTCAGTCTTCTCTTCTCAAGGCTGAACATGCCCAGTTCTCTCAGTCTCTCCTCACAGGGTAGGGTTTCCAAACCTGGATCATTTTTGCTGCCCTCCTCTGGACCCTTTCTAATAACAAGCCATGGTGGTTCACAACCCAACAACAAACTATGGGTTCTCTTCATGGGTTGTTTGTAGTTAACAAACCTTGGCTTGTTAGCACAAGCGAGTTCAGAGAACACAACAAACATATTCCATCAACAACCTATGCTTCACAAACAACCCCACTCAACCCATAGACTTGGTTCACATTTACAATAACCCATATTTGCTTATAAGGCAGGGTGGCTTGTGTTGTTTGTACACAAGTCACCCCTGCTTTATGCACCCATGCACAAACCACTCTGGCAGGATTCATACACAACCAGGCATCTTTAACCACCATAGTTTATCATGTTGTGTGCACCCAATCATTGCACTGAGAGTGATCTGGATTCTAGTTCCCATTCATCCATGGCGCTAACTGGGTTAATTTGGGCCAGTTAATAGACTCTGAGTGCAACTTGCCTCATAGGGTTGTTGCTATTGAGAGGAGGGGGAGAATTTTATCTGGCCAGGGCGGCTTATTTTATAATGTGTGCTTTAATTAAATTATTTTATATGGATATTTTAACTTATTGTTTTAGCTATGTTGTAAGCCGCCCCGAGGCTTCGGCGAATGGGGCGGCATAAAAATGTTTTAATAAATAAATAAAATAAATAAAATTATGTAAGCCATCTTTGATTCTTTGAAAGAAAAAAGGCAGTGTATAGTTATAATAAATAATAAATTAGTGCCTCAAGCAGAAAAATGTCTCTAGCCAGCCCTATTATGCTTAACATTTCAGAAATACAACAAATGATAGAATAAAAAGTTATGAAAAATAACTTTTATTGTGCATTTCATAATCTTCAAAAACGAAGCATTAAAGGGAATTAAAGGGACAACCCTTAACGAGGGACGCCTCTAACAGCCTACGGGGAGATGAGCAGCCAATAGAGGCTGGTCCCAAAGGCAAGAGCCAAACGTTGTTGTGAGCCGCCCCGAGGCTTCGGCGAATGGGGCGGCATAAAAATGTTTTAATTAATTAATTAATATCCAGACTTTTCGGCATTAAACTGAAAGCCCGCATTGGCCGTAGCGCCTCACTGGAAGCACAGCACGCCGCCCTGGTATTCGCTAGACGGAAAGCCCGCTCCGTTGCCTTGCCGTAGCCTTCTTCTAAGGCCGCCGGCTCCCCTGCTTGCAAGTGAGACTTCCACGCTCCTTCGGACGCCGATTTTCGAGTCTCCTTTCATACAAAGTAGATGGAACTGCCCACAGGAAACGGGCCGGTCCAGGAGATTTGCTCCTCAGTATACTCCTCCCCGCAAAAGGCAGCAGCAAATACAGGCGCTGATGCTCAGCTCGTGTGGGCAAAAGGGATTTTAAACTGATTTGGTTTTCCCGCAGGTATGCATGCTTATTTCCTGCACCGTAAGCCAGCCTTCTTCTGTGGGCGGCATCCACTTCCGCCTCGCAGAACCCCGAAAGGCCGTCCAAAGCGCCTCCGGAAGCGAGGGGTCCATCGGCACGAGGGCGCGCCCGCGGGGAGGCGCTCCTCGGCTGCGCAGGGTCGGAGACGGCCGCTCGGGGGCGGAGCAAGGAGAGGCCGCCCCGCCGGCTCTTGAGCGCCGTCCCGGCCCGGCGTCGGCATGGTGCCGGTGCTCCCGGGCCTGTATCTGAGCGGCGCCGATCTTGGCCAGCCAGAGCGCGCCGGGGATGTCGCCGCCGCCACCGCGCTGCTGCTCGTGGACTCGGAGCCGCCCGCCGCCGCCGCGGGCCCGGAGGCGCTGCTGCACATCCCGGTGCTGGATCAGCCCCAGAGCGACCTGCTGAGCCACCTGGACGCCTGCGCCGCCTTCATCAGCCGCGCTCGGGAGCGGGGAGGAAGCGTCCTGGTGCGATGGTGAGCGCCGAGAAGCGTCCCCGCGGGACCACCGGAAGCGTGCAGGGCTTGCAGGACACGGAGCCTCTTAACGGCTCCACCAGAAGCGGGGCGGGGGGGGCGGTCTTCTGGGACGGCCCATAGAAATCAATGGAGAACTCCAAGATCCTGGAGCTGTTACGATCCGACGCCAGCTCGGGTACTAAAGGTAGCAGCTAAAGCAGGAGGTCCTCCTTTTTGCATTTGTAGTGCTAAAGAGCGCCTTATTTGCACGTGTGTTGCTGAAGCAGGGGGGCTTCAGTCGAGATAAGGAGCTTGACTTTTGCTCTAAGAGGGGAAGTTTGGGCTGGGAGTCAAAGCCCACTTGCGCCCACCTTTAGCAGCTGCTCACTTAGGCTCAGCCTGATCTCTGAGCTGAGACAGAGGGATAACAGACTGCATGTGCCTTGGACCTGCATTGGCAGAACTGGGCTGGGGAGTTAAGAACACTAAACCTAGGATTTTCCATACAGCATAAAACCAGAGGTGGTATCAAAGTAGACGTGCTGGGGCCTACTTACAGGTGCCATAAAATCTTGCATTTCTTTTATTTTTAATTCGTGTGGGCAGCTCTCACATGTGGTTCTCGAAATATTTAACAAAGGTTTTTCTGGTGAGAATTGCAGATACAGGCAGTAACAATCTTACACATATTTACTTGAAAGAAGATCCTGCTCTTTTTGGTAGGACTTACTTGCTAGTAAGTGTGTTTAGGACTGTGGCCTGAGAAGCCTGTCGGGACTTTAGCCATCCTTTTCAAGTGCTCACTTTTGGGTGACTTTTTGCCATCTCGTATACTTTCAGATAAATGATAGATTTATGGCCCCCGTATCTCAGTCTGTCCAGTCCTAGATATACAGGATAGTCTGAGCAAAAAAATGATTGTTGATTAATTAGATCTGAGTTAAATTGCTTTCTTTGCTTTAGGCAATGCTTACAAATGTTGCTGCAGGGGCTGGTTGAATAGCTGTTCCCTCCTCTGTGTGAAAGATAATTTGGAGATGGCACCACCTGCCGTTTTTGGCAGTTAATTTAAACAGCAACAGCAGCAAATGGTTTAAAAATGTAATCAACAGATAATCAAGTGTAAATTGTAACCAGTGCTTTTTTGGTCATAGAAGGCACCGGAGTTCCAGCTGTGTGGCTTGTGATTGATTGTGTGGTTGTGCGCTGAGTGCTTACTGCGGGCGGTGACCGTTATGTTTCGTTACACAACTGATGTATGTCGGTGTGTGTACAGTGATTGACTACATGTGAAAGGTAAATAATTTATTTTAAAAAAAGTTGGTGAATTGAAAATCTTTTTTTAATTTTTAGTGCAAAAGCGTGACCCCAAATTTAAAAATGAAAAAAAAAATACGAATTACTTCTCAACCACCTGTCCTGCTAATAAAAAGGCCAGAATATTAACAGACACAACGACAGAACACATAGTCGAGAAGATTTGTCGGACGAGAATTGGACAAAACTTTGGAATTTACTATGAACATTTGCCTTAAATACAATAAATTAAATTTATGTTAAGAACTGAATATATAATTTTTTAAATAAAAGATTAACAAGATGTGAGTTCCGGCACCCTTTTTCTTACAAAAAAAGCACTGATTATAACTATACTGTAAGATGCGGTATTTTCTAATTTCTCCATCTATTCTTTTTTTCCCTTTTTCTGGGTTTGTTCACAGTTTACTCAATACTAATGACAAATGATGGTATCACTTTTGTGATCTTCCCAGAAGCACATGGTTTTCCACTGTCAGGCACAGAGTGCTGGATTAGGTGGACTTTTGGTCCAGTTCAGCAGGACTCTTGTGCTCTTATTTTTGTGTGCAAAGTACCTGGATGGGCTTGATTTGAAAAAAAAACCCCACTATCAATACTATATTGGTCCCAAGCTTTTGTTATCAACCCATTTCTTTTAGGCCCAAGCAGGGTCACTTCCTAGTTATTAGTGTCTAAATGTGTTAGTGCTGGAAGGTAATTAGAGATTGTGTGATGCTGGGGGAGGGGGCCCGGTGGCGGGGGAGGGGGCCCGGTGGCGGGGGGGGGCAGGGAGGGCTCTGACATGTTGAAACATGTAACACCAGCTAGAGAATTACTGAGCTGCTCTTTAATGGAAAAACGTGTGTGTCTTCAGTGACTCTTTCAAAGCTCTCATGAGAAGTGTGTATTTCATAGTCTAGACAGTTTCAGTGGAATAATAGCTCTGGTTGGAGTGTGATCAGATTTCATGGGTTTTCCTTGTCCTTTCAGTCAAGCTGGTGTCAGCCGAAGTGTTGCGGTTGTGACAGCCTATTTAATGAAAACCAACAAGTGGCCTTTTGAAGAGGCCTATGCCTTTGTCCAGACCATCAAAACTGATGCCAAGTGTGTATTTCTCTCCTCATTGTTTCCTTTCCTCATGAAGTCTCTACAGTACATTCTTGTGACATAAGAAGGTTTCTTTTAACTTGTTCTTCCAGAATGAATGAAGGCTTTGAGTGGCAACTGAAACTCTATGAAAAATTGGGATATGAAGTGGATGTAACCAGTGCTATTTACAAGCAGTATCGTTTGCAAAAGGTGACAGAGAAATACCCTGGTAAGGAAATCAGAATTTTCTACAGTTCAAATCAAATTATTCATGTTAGAGCTGACTACAGTAAACTGTACTTGAAATGGGTTTTGCTATCTTTTGCTGGTCATGACCAAACTGAAACTGGCAATAAACAAGTCTGTTATAATAGGAGTTCTTCAGCACATGAGTTGCAGTATACTTTTGAATGAAGCTTGAATTCTGAAGGGATGGGTATATGTTACCAGCAGCTAATAGGAATTCCTGCAGTCCCTAGAATGGAGCCTTCCTAGATGTCATACTAACCATATAAGTACGGTAATCATTTCCCTTTCCACCTACCTCTTAAGTTTTCCAGCTGTTAGTGAAGATTAGTCTCAGAGAAGAGGAAATCAACAATTGAGAAACTCAGTATTTCCTACTTTATTGTACGTGTAATTTTGATTTTGACCCCCACCCCCCACAGACAAAATCTCTGCCTGGTGGTGACAGAATCTTCAAAATTTTCATCAGCAGAGCTTTTTTCCATTATGGGTTACTCTCAACCCATGAGTGCAATGAATAGCTGGATTCTTACCCAGGGATGGGAAGGGACAGTGGAAATCCCATAGCTTAAAATTCTGTTCTATAGGTGTAGAGGTACACAAATTATCTCTGGGCTTCATAATCAAGAATGATTTCTGCATAGAGGAGTATAGTAAGTGCATGTGACAGAATGCCTTTCTCTTTCTACCAAGCAAGTGTAATACCCTCGCCCTCTCCAAAGTAAGAAGAAAGAATAAATGGAGTGTGGCTATGTCATGTATGCACATTTTATGCATAATTGTGTTGTCTTTTTTGGAGATCCCTAAGGGGCCTCTGTAGGCAGATGAGATAACTCTACTACAATTCAGAGACTATGAATAACAAAGAATTTTTTTAAAAATTAAAATTGTAAAAGTATTTTAAGATATTAAATATTGCCTCTATCTCCTTGCAAATGGTAGATCATATTCATATCTAGGGAATACAGATGCACTGCCTACAAAAATTCACTCCTGATTTCAAAATTCCCATCCAGCAATGATTCTGTTCAGTCTCATTTCTCTGCCTCAGTCAATTTTTGGAAGAACAGCCTTGAAGAAATTGGTAAAAAGCATTGTAACCCTCTTCCTCGCTGAGGTGTCTGCTTGCATGAGATAGGCTACCTAGGAGTGCTTTCTGCTCCAGGAGGAGACTGAGAGTTTGGGAACTGGGGAGGGGGCTACTGGAAGACTACTGAGCAGACTCACAAAAACAGGAACAACTAACACACAGGCTGCAAAAAGTCTCCCCCTCTGTGTTGCTTTAAATAAGTAGAGATCAAAGCCCATTGCTCTCATTGTGCACACAGCAGTAGAAATCTGGTTTAAGCTGCCTTTTCTCCAAAAGAAATCTACACTGGGTTTTTACCACCATGCTGCAGCTCCCTATAGCAGATTTCTTTTTCTTTCTGCATGGGATCCACCTGTCAGCCTCACCATTCAAAGTTTTATGGCAACTGGGCATTCTTCCCAGAGTAAAACACAGGAGTGGCAGGCTGGACTGACACACTGGTCATCTGGTCATAGGGTGAAACCCTCCACCCCTCTTGAAGGAAAGAGGTACAAATTTCCAGATGTTTTACAAGCAAGTTTTCAGGGATCTTATCCGCGTTCCAGTTTTCACTGTAATAAGTTATGTAGAGGTACGCTTGCAACTTTGCCATCACTGTGAATTCGTTGGATGCGTGTAATTCATTGTGGGGATGTCAGCATAAAGTAATGCCTGAGAAATCTCACTTGTATTCTTGATTTAAAATCTTGGTTATATTTGCTGAAAGAGAAATTGGCCTAAAGCAAAACTGAACTCAGGGAATAGGCTGTGTTATAACTGAGAATAGTAAAGGGACTTCTTTTTGAGTAGCTTATGTGTGAAATTACATATTGAAGAAATATTCCTCGGCCTCTCATGTGGGTGATAATGAATGTTAACAAAGCCAACTAGGTGAGTACATTAACCTTTTTTAATCGAGCGCTTTTCACAGCCAAAGTGTTAAATCTGTCACTGTCTTTTCAGAGCTACAGAACCTGCCACGTGAAGTTTTTGCAGTTGATCCAGATAGTGTACATCAGACTTCAAATCATGAACTGCTTTACAGGTGCAGGAAGTGCAGGTTTGTGTCTCCACATATATATTTAGTCGTTTTATATGCAGCTGGTATGCTGTGAGATCAGAGTGGCATATGGGCAGTTTTCCAATTTCTGTGGGACTTGTTTTCAAGGCACTCACAATAAAACTAATTAAAGGCATGGCTCTATGCATGTTTATACAGAAGAGAATGCTCGCAACTCCCAGTACGCCCCAGCCAGCCATTTCCTCTGTCTCGGGCTGCATGGGATTGCAACGTAAATGGCATAAGGGTAGAAGAGACTGAATGAAATGACAATGGAGACACAAAATCTCTTTTCAGAACTAACTGAAATACTCATCTATAACAAGTCCTGACAGCCATCAAAAGGGCAATAATTTCTGCAGGAATCAACCAGCTATATGGTTATTTGACATTTGGGATGCTTTGGGTAGTGGCCAGAGCCCAATCTTGGTATTGCTTGCTACGCCTTGGTCAATTCACTTGTGTGAACTGGGCTTTTGTGTATGTTTCTTTTTCTCCTCTTAATGTGTGTTTTCATAAGCCTGAAAAGAATGTAAGAAAATACATAGCTATCAGTTATTGCGACTGTCAGATGGCTTTGCTGTTATATAATTTAAGGTCATTGTTGTCTTTGTTTCTGGACTGTAGACGTCTGCTCTTCCGAAGTTCGAGCATTTTGTCTCATGATGAAGGCAAAGGACCTGCAGCTTTTGCTCATAAGAAGCTTTCAAAACCTACCCCTGTGCGCTCTGATGGCCGATCCAGTTGTACTTCTTACTTCATCGAGCCTGTACAGTGGATGGAGCCAATGTTGTTAGGTGTGATGGAAGGACAGGTGAGAGACCTTTTTAACCCCATTATCTTTTTTAGCCTCTTAAGCTTTAGAAGGCTCTTGCATTGCTGAAGACTGAACAATAAAGGCATTTATTTTATTGATCCTCAGACTATAATCCCTTGAATGCAATAGCTATGCTTAAGTGTGGTGTATGTCCCTACCATAGAATGACAGAGGGATGAGGTCTGTGTAGCTTGGGCATTGCCTCATCCCTCCTGTGGTTGGTTGGTTTCATTTCTGTCTCGCCCAAGTGGGAGAGGGTAAGAGCCCAGGTGACTGAATAACATGACAGAAGGCTAAATGGAGGCTCCTGAGCAAATGAGGGAAAGAATTGCAGTGGAGATGAAAAAAGGAGGGCCTGAGGGAAGTCCTCACAGAAGCCATGGATAAACTTATTTGTAGTCTGGTTTAGGAAGAAAATGGGTAACAAAGCTTCAGTGGCTGGGCAACTCTAGACAAGGGAGACCAGGTTTCATGCTGGTTTGAAATAACCTGTAAAATTGTTCAAAGCTAGCAATATGCAACTAATTCAGGCTTAAAGCTGATCCGTGCAGGAGCTAAGAGAAAAGGCTGAGCATTGACTGACCTTTATATGTGATTCTCTTACAGCTTCTGTGCCCAAAGTGCGCATCAAAACTGGGCTCCTTTCATTGGCAGGGTGAGCAGTGTTCATGTGGCCATTGGGTGACCCCTGCCTTCCAGATTCACAAGAGTCGTGTGGATGAAGTGAAAGTGCTGCCCATTGGGGACCTACAGATGCTGAGAAAATGATCTCGGTTTGTATCTGTGTGGCCTAATCTAGAAGAGGCAAAGATCCTGAGGACTCATGCAATGGCTCAAGAGACAATGGCTCCTTTCAGAGTTTTCCCCACAGCCTTACAGGGAAGGACAAGCCATTTATGCGTCCTCAGCTCCATACTGGAGCATTTCCTTGGACTGTTTAGTATTACAACATCTTAAGGACTGAAACTGGGTAATAAAAGATACATGTGATCATATCTCAGGTGGGTTGTTTTTTTTTAAAGAAAAAAGAAAAAGGGCTTGGAGATGGGAGTGGGGAATCAGGATTTGGTATGGGGGTGTACTCCTTTTTTTTCCCCATGGCGAGAGCTTCATAATGATCCTCCTCTTGCAGCTGCAGCTTACCCTTGGGGTAAAGCTGCTGTTAGCACAAGGACAAGTTTCCCTCCTGGAAGGAAAAGCAACAGGGATGTTGGGGGAGGGGTTCCATCAGGTCACCCCCTTGCTTGCTTCCTGTGCACTGTGGTTTGAATACTGATCAGGCCTCCCTGAGCTGGGCATTTGGGCGCACACTCTCATTGTCTCCCTCCCTCCCTTTTTAAGAGACATGTGAAATGTAGGCATTGCAAATTACTGTTTACTCTGTTACTGTTTTATGAAGGAATCTTCTAAAATGCTCTGCATCTAAAGGGTTTTCATAAACAATTGGCTTGGTTTTAATTACCATTAGGAAAGTAATTGGAATGTCAAAATATGGTTATCTAAGATGGTTGGAAGAAAATGAGATAGTATGTTTGTGAATGCAGAACTGGAGGCAAACTGTTACTGATGATAAAGCAGTGCCAGCATCTGTCTTGCAGCAATTGTCAGTTTCATCTGGATTATATCCTTGAGAAGAGGATTTTCAGAAGCAATGCTTTGTAAGTCTCTCTTCTGCATAACACAACTATACAGTTTTACATACATATTTGCATATAAAGTGTGTTTCTTATTCTACATAAATTGCTATTTTTAAACAAGGATTAAGGTTATTAAGTGCAAATGGCTATACACTGCAGCCTTTTGTACTACTATAGAACAGTGTATACACCCCTGTAGCTTGACATTTGTCCCTCTGGTGATTCTGCTTTGCTGCTCTGTTCAGAGAGCTTTGGCTATTGGATGGTATAGAAAAGAATGATTCACTACACATACATACATGTTAACAAAAGTTCTCAGGGTGGCTTACAATCAAGGAGAACTATATAGAAGACAAAATAATATAATCTGAGTAGAGCAAAAAAGCCATGGAGGAGAAAAGTAGTATCATCAAATGTATTAATTGTGAGCCATCCCGAGATGCCTTGCATGGGGGACAGCATATAAACGTTTTAAATAAATAAATAATGAAACTTACATTAGCATCAGAAATGTCACAAATTCTAAATATTAAATTGTCACAAATTCTATAGGTCACTATAAAAGAAGCTAGATTAAAAGACTTCACCCTGTGCAGAGAAGAGATGAGAGCAGGGGCACCATGCAAGTTTTTGAGGAGGGCATTCTAACATGGGGGTGCCACCACTGGGAAGTCCATCTGTTAACCACTTGCCATATTTGTTGGGAGCACCCAAGAGGGGAGGGCCTTGGAAAAGAGCTGAGGGTCCAGGTGAGTATATGGGGGAGGACAGGTCGGTGACAGTTTAGGTAACTCAGCTCCAAGCCATTAGGCCTTCAAATGTTAAAACCAGCACTTTGAATTGTGTCCAGAAATGGACGGATGCCAGTGCCCGTTCCAGCCAGCACAGGCATGTTTTGGACCAACTGAGGTTTTATTTATTTTTCGATTTATATCCTGCCTTTTCCTACAAAGGGCTCAAGGCAGCTTACATCATTCTCCTCCCCCATCTTATCCCCACAACAACAACCCTGTGAGGTAGGTTGGGCTGAGAGTCTGACTGGCCCAAAGTCACTCAGTTGGCTCCATGGCTGAGCGGGGATTAGAACCCAGATCGTCTGAGTCCCAGTCCCATGCTCTTAACCACTACACCGCACTGGCTCTCAGACCATTCTCAATGGATTCAGACCACACTGAAAGGCAATGCCATGCATAAAAGGTTAGGATCAGGTGGGAATCTGCAGGAAAGCTTTTTGTTCCCAGATAGGATGGTATAGTAGTTGCAGCCCTAAACTGATAAAACAGTGACTGTAGCCACACAGACTGGATGTGCAGGTCCCTCCAGAGCAGGCTGAACACCACCTAGCTCAGCAGACACCCACTGAGTCCCTGCACAGTCAAAAATGAACAAGCAAACCTAGATCTGTAAAAGGATTTACAGTGAATGTGAGATTATAAACGTACAATCCAAGCTACAATAACATGGCCCTTCCCTGTGTGAGAGGGCAGGAATGCCTTGATGTCTAGCCTAATTACAGATGAATTCATTTGGGCTACTGAATATGCACTGATAACAGATAATTCAAATTCAGTGGACTATTTCAATCTGAGCTGCCTAGCCAAGGTGTGTTCAACATGGAGGGAAGGAGACTGGAGCTCCAGATACATCACATCTTGGTGGTGTTGGTGTCCTTGCCTCCCTGAATGCCCCTTGACCCCCTCTCCAAGGTTGTTTTTATGACCTTGGAGAAACAGCCTGGCATTAATCTTCCCATCCTAAGTGCAGTGGAGGGAAGAGGAACCTGAGAATTGATCTCCCAGCTCCAAAATTGGAGCTCTTTTCTGACTTTGGGTCTGGGAATCCAAAGAATCCTGTGGCCCCCTAAAAGCTGTCTGTGGGCCTCAGGATTGCTTTGCCTGCTGCCTTACCCCTATTCATGGTTACTCGGAAGTAGGTCTTTACCAAATACTTGGACAGAGGCAAATATCACATTAATACCGAAAGAAGACACTTGACGCAGATTCAAAATTACAGACCTATATCACTATTAAACGTGGATTATAAAATTTTTGCCTCCATAAGGGCGGAAAGATTGAAGAAGTATCTAACAGACTTTATTCACTCAGATCAAAATGGTTTTTGACCTAAAAGACAAATGAGAAATAACTTGAGAACTATCTTTGACATCTTAGAGTATTATGAGATACATAATGGAAAAACCAATGGCACTATTATTCATGGACACACAGAAGGCTTTTGACAATGTTAACTGGCAATTTATGAAGCAACAGCTAGCTCAAAGGAAGTTTGGTGAAAAGTTTATTAATGAGATATCAAGCATCTATCAAAAGCTGTCTTCTAGGATTATAATCAATGAAGAATTTACAAATATTATACAAAAGGGTGCAAGGCAAGGATGCCCGCTATCACCTCTGTTGTTTATATTGATCTTAGAAGTGTTAAACAGAAATGTCAGGGATGGTACGGACATTAAAGGTACTAGAATCAGAGATGAAAGCTATAAACTGCAAGCATTTGCAGTTGATCTAGTTTTCATAATGGAGGAACCCTTAGTTACAATGCCTAAACTCCTACAAGGGATTGAAGAATATGGTGAGGTTACTGGGATGAAAATAAATAGAGAAAAGACGAAATTGTTAGTAAAAAAATCTCACATAGGAGCAGAGAAAAACTCTGCTGGAAAAAGTTAAATATTTGGAAATTTATCTTACAGCTAAGTGTACCACTCTGAAAGAAGACAATTACGATAAACTATTTAAGGATATTAAGAGTGATTTGGAAAAATGGGCTAATTTGCAATTGTCCTTGCTGGGGAGAATAGCACTAGCTAAAATGAATATATTACCAAAGCTTTTGTTTCTATTCCAAATGATTCCCATAAAAATTGATAAAAAATTCTTTGATGATTTAAATTTTCAAATCTCAAGATTTATATGGAGAAAGAAGAAACCAAGGATTAAACTAAAAATACTTCAGGAGGCTAAAGAGAATGGGGGCTCCGGTCTCCCTGATTGGATGCTGTACTATCAAGCTTCTGTTTTAACGTGGCTAGAAGAATGGATAACTTTAAGAAATAAGAGAATTGAAGGGCATGATTTGCAAATGGGTTGGCATGCTTATATGTGGTATGAAAAGGCTAAGCTACATGGCTCTTTTTTAAGTCACTATATTAGGAAATCATTAATGTCGGTGTGGGAAAAGTTAAAGACAAAATTGTATAATAAATTACCAAGATGGCTTTCACTTATGGAAGCTTTTGTATATCCAACTGCACTGAACTTTGAAGGGATCATAAGACAACATTCTGGATAATGATGGAGGATTGAAATTGAATCAAGAAACACAAAACAAGGATCTAATATTTCTTGGTGGCATAAGGTACAGATACAATCGAGATACTCTAAAGACTATAAAACGTGGGGCTTTTATAAAGATTTGACAGCATTTGATCAGGTGATGATTAAATCAGATGAGAAAATGATTAAAAGACTAATTTCTTATTCAATAGGAGAATGGAAGATGAACAGGTTAAGGAAACTATAATAACGTTGGCACAAAACTTTGGATATAATATTGAATCAGAAAAATGGCAAAAGCTGTGGGAGAGAAATATTAAGGTAACATTAGCAACTTCGTATAAAGAAAACCTGTATAAAATGTTTTATAGATGGTATCTGTTGCCAAATAGATTAGCTAAGATGTTTCCAAATATGTCAAATGGATGTTGGAAATGTAAACATAAATTGGGTACTTTCTATCATGTGTGGTGGACTTGCGATAATGTGAAAAAGTATTGGATTAAAATACATAAATGACTTGAGGAAATGTTACAAAAACCCTTAGCTTTTAAACCTGAAGTCTTCTTATTAGGCATTATACCTGTTGATATTAGTAAACAAGAAATGTACTTGATTTTACATGTAATTACTGCGGCGAGGATTGCATTTGCTCAACACTGGAAAAGTGAAGAACCACCCACCGACGAACTGATCCTAAAAAAGATCTTGGACTGTGCAGAAATGGATAGATTGACTTTGTCATTGAAGGAGAAAGAAGATGCTGATTTCTATCAGACTTGGGACTCTTTTTATTATTGGCTAGAGAAACGGGACATCGTATAGATTTAAATCTGTTTCTAAGTTATCATAAATGAAAAAAAAATGTGGGGGCTGACCCAGCAGGTCTGATGTTTCTGATGATTGATGTTGTTTTTAGTTTTTCTTTGTTTTAGGGTTATAATTTTGAATAAAACTTATTATTAAAAAAAAAGAAGTAGGTCTTAGAAAGTTCAGTAGAACTTTCTTAGGTGTGCATAGGAGTGCTGGTCTCATTTTGCAAATCCATCCTCGAGTCTTGTG